CTCACGCACTATATTAAAAAGTCTTTGATTGGGCCTTGGGCTTTATTGATTCCAATAAAATAATTATTACTTTTTTAATTATTTTCGAAATTATTTAATGGGTCAACTAGCCAGTAGAATATGACAGTTTTAACTGCCCAATATTAATACCCATTACCATTGGCCATTACATCTGCAACTTAATACTAGATCATGGTGGAAGAGATTACATCTCTTTCTACCTATATAAACACACTTTTGTGTATTAGAAAATAACAAGAAAATCGAGATTATATATTTCTATACAGTACAAATATTGTTCTTATTTTTATAAATTTCTGGAGTACACTTGAGAGTTCTGAAAATCTTTTGTGATTGCTGCACAATTGGTTTATTTGATCGTTGTATCCTGGAGGTGATTGTCCACAGAGGTCGCAGCAGTTATCGACGGTCAATTTCGCTTTAGGATATCGTGCTGTCACGAGACTCGATCTATTGATAAGTTTTTCTGCACTTTACTGTTATTTTATCCAACAATCTAAAGCGAAATTATACGTTTTTAATGGCTGCAGTAGATATATCTGTTCCTAAATATTCTGAAAAGTCTGAATTATTTATTGAATAATAAAGATATTTTTCGTTTTTCTTTGTATTTCTCTTGCGTTCTTCTCTGTTTTTGTCAATTGATTCCAGCCTACAGAATAATCACTATTCTGTCGGCGTCAGCAGAGGCACCTACGGGCAGAGGTTCACACAATTAACGCCGTTGCAAGATAGCAGCGTTGATCCTCTTGTAGCAGCAGTGGTGTCCAAGTTTGTGGTAGAGAGAGGGAATAGGTTGGGAAATGAATTCGGTTTGTGAGTGAAATTGGGTTGGGATAGATGGATGGAGTGGGTGGGTGGGTGGTTGGGTGGTATATATTAATTTAATTTTATAATATCATTATTAATATTTAATAATTAAATTATTACCTGATTTTTGATAAAATAAACTTTACATCGTATTTTTGAATTGTCATCTTTAAAAACAGGCCTGGGTGTAATTTTCTCTTAAAATAATAATAAAAAATTAGATCAAATGCATGGATCAGCCCAACCCAATACAAATTGAACATGAAAAACTATTATTACGAAGTCCTATAAAGATATAATTGCTTTCATTTTCACACAGATTAAGAAAATACAATTAATATATTTAAAAATATAAATTTTACATACATCTTTTATAATATACCTCTATATTAAATAATTATTTAAATATAAATAATTCATATTTGTTGATAACAAAACTCATTAAATAGAGATATTTTAGAAAACTAAGAATTTAACTATACTCTCAACGAGGAAAGCGACATAATTTTGGACAAACGAAAAAGAAAAGTAAATTTACCTTTATGGGACGAAGGAAGTATCATTTAGTCCCTATTTGATTGCCATTATTGAGGAAAAAATGAAGCTCCTGTTTGGAGGGGATTAAAACGAGATTTTTTTTTTGGGAAAATAAATTTATTCATTCATCAAATCGGCAAGGAATACATTTGAAATAAAAGGTGGAAAAGAAGACCAATGAACAATATCATGTAATGAACTAGCGGCCTTAGCTAGTGTGTGAGCTTCTTGGTTAGCCGATCTCCTAACCTAGTTGAACTTGACATTCAGTAATTCTTTAGCAAGAAGACGACACTCTTCAATTAGGATACCAAGGTAAGAGTTGTCAACTCCATCATTCTGTAGAGCACTATAAACCAAGAGAGCATCCATTTCAATGGTTTGGACCCTAGAGAATTTAGATTTAATCCAAGAAAGGGCCTCACGAACCCCCAAAGTTTCGGCGATAAGTGGATCAACAATACCTTGAACAGGAACAACGTTGGCAGCAACGAATGACCCCAAATCATCTCGAATCACAAGGCCGAGCCTAGACTTCCCTTTGTTTTCAAAAATGGCTGCATCAATATTTAATTTGAAGGAACCCGTAGTAGGTGGTTTCCACTTATCAATCTCTGGTCTGTTAGAGCTAACCTTGTGGTAGTGGCCTATTATCATCACGCCATTGCTGGAGGAAATTTTTTGCAATAGTCACCACCTTAAACACTGTAAACAACTTAACTTTCCCAACAGTTTCATTACGGTTCATCCAGATGGCCCAACAAATCAAAGCAATAATCTCTTGTTCTTGTTGATGAATATTGAAGATAGCTATGAGCCATTCTTTGAAATTAGTAACCAAGGGGGAAGAACTGACTACTCCCATTGCCTCCCAAACTTTTTGGGCAAATTCACAAGAGATGAGGACATGGAGAACAGATTGTTCGTGCATTAAACAAATCAAGCACTGGCTATCAGTGTCAACTCTTTTGGTCGTCAATTGATCAGCTGTTGGAAGGACATTCAACGATGCTCTCCAGAGTAAATTTCAAACCTTTGTCGGAATTTTATATCTCCATAGATTGTTCCAGAAGCTCTCTTAGCAGTGTGAGAGTATAAGAAAGAATCCATCGTCAATAGCTTATATCCATTTCTAACCGAGTAAGACCCTTCTTGTCATGAATCTAGTACATTCGATCTTCCATCCCATGGGTTGTTAGGGGAATTTTCATTCTTTAGCAACGGTCTTCCTCATTGAAAAGATCAGCAAGAAGATTATAATCCCAACTGTTCTCACCTGCTATAATAAGTTGATCAACGATAGCGTCTTCACTCCCTGGGCGTGGTTCTAAAGTTACAAAACCTTAGTTGGAGTTAGGAAGCCAGGGGTCTTGCCGATTCTAATCGAGGAACCATTTCCCACTCGGATTCTGCAACCATCTTTCAAAACAGATTGAGCAGCAAATATACTACGCCAAATATAGCTTGGCCTATAGCCAATTTTAGCTTCCAAGAATGTTGCTGAAGGAAAGTAACGTGCCTTCTAAATCCGAGCAACCAAGGAAGTAGGTTGTGTTAACAACTTCCAACCGAGCTTACCCAGGAGAGCTAGATTAGTTTCATGCAACTTCTTGAAACCCATGCCACCTTTAGATTTTGGGAGACAAAGTTTATCCCACGCAGTCCAATTGATGCCTCTATGTTCCCCTTATTAGATTGTCACCAAAATTTATTCATAATTCTCTCGAGTTCTTCACAAAGCTGGATAGGGATAAAAAAACACACTTATAACGAAATTAAGAACAGCTTGGGAGACGATCTTAATAAGGATTTCTTTTCCCACTCTAGATAAACACTTCTCTTTCCATCCTTACACTCGTTGCCAAACCCTATCTTTAATGAAAGAGAAAACCTCTCTTTTCTTCTGCCAAATAATAGAAGGCAAACCAAGGTATTTTTCATGACCTTGGAATGCCTGGATGTCCAAATTTGCACGAATAGCAACCTGCCTCTCAGGAACAACATTGCTGCTGAAATATAAAGTGGATTTTTGATAGTTAATGGATTGGCCAGATTCCATTTCATATTTGTGTAAAAGCTCCCTAACTTCATCACATTCCCTCATGTTCGCTCGAAAAAACAAGCAGTTGTCATCCGCGAAGAAAAGATGAGTAAGAGAAGGGGCATTTCTTGCAATTCTACAGTCGTGAATAGCGCCTGAGACCTCTTTTGAACGAGTAAGTGATGATAAACCTTCCGAGCAAAGAATGAGTAAGTATGGCGATAAGGGGCAGCCCTGACGTAATCCCCGCTTAAGGAAAATGGGTCCGATATTGAAACCCCCATGAACAACATGATACAGGACTGTAGATACACATAAGACGATCAAATCAATCCAATTTTGAGGAAAGCTCATTTGAGTCATCACTTGCTTCAAAAAACCCCATTCGAGCCGATCATATGCCTTACTAATGTCAATCTTGAGAGCATCCATGCCATGTTTGCCACGATTCTTCTTCTTCATATGATGAAGAGCCTCAAATGCCAACATAATAAATAAGATTTTTATTAAATTTTGATAAAAGTTGATGAAATGTGTAGTTGAAAAGTTATGGGTCACATAAAATATATTGTTAAAATAAATTGTTGATTTTGATTTAAATTAAAATTTAGATTTTAATTTTCACTAAATGGGGCGAAGTTTTGAATGTTAATTTTTTTTTTTTTTTTTAAATGTGTACTTAAAAAGCAAGATTTTTTTTTTGAATTTACATAAAAAAAAATATTTTAAGGACATCCTACACGTAATTAAGGTGTACACCCGGATTTACAATCCTCTCACACGAAGGAACTCCTACGCACAATAAATCATTGACTTAATAGTTTGTGTATTGGATTATTTTTAGTGTATGAAAAACTAATTAATGGCTTGAATTTGTAGGGGTGTTTGTTTCTATAGGGAACAACAAGATTGGCAGGATTGGGGGTTGTTTGGCAAAGATTCCTTCAAAATTATTTTCAATCAGATATTTTATAGAATTTACAAAGTTTTTATCACTTTTTTAATCGCACATTTTCAAAAAAAATCATTTTCTCTTGAAAAAGTATATGCAACGTGTATCCAACAAATAAATGAATCAATGTCCCCATAATTTTGGTGGGTGGGTGGGTGGGGTAATAATTGATTATTTCTTATAGTGGAGCAAGTTGCCTAGTGGATGTGCAATTATGTCACGATCACGTGTTTCTTATTCAACACATGATATATAAAAGTAACACACGTGGTATAATATAAAATTAAAAAATATGTTCGAGCACCCTATCTAACGCGAACTTCAAATTTAGTTACTTTCAACTTATTTACTCAAAACTCTGTTTTTGTTTCACTTATATCACCTCTATCATCACGGACGAATTCATGATTGGACTAAAATATTTGTTTAGACGGACTAACATATAAAAATATATATATTCCCCCTATCCTCCTCAAAAAATTGAAATTGACTTTCGAGGGACTGGGCTATCACAAATTCGCCACTGTCTATCACTTACATGTAGCTTATATGTAATATTTATCGAAGTAATTACTTCTTGCCTAATGGCACAAAATTAATTAACTTTCGGGTAATTACCACATAACGTTTTTATGTTTCACTATTATTATGGAAAATGTTATTATCTTTTATTTTTTGATATTTTCACCCTTAATTTCACATTTCGATGTGCAAAAGATCATTTTTATCAATTTCTCAACTAAAAGCTATAAAATGACAAATATACCGTTCTATTTAAATAAAAGAAAGAGAAAGAAGTAATTGCAATTATAATCCCCCTTTTTTTAAAGTGCAAACTAGGAAGATATATTCATCATTTCACATTTTTTTTAAATTAAAAAATTGAATGAAAATTGATAGAAATAATGATTTGCTTAACCAAAAGTGTAATTAAATGTGAAAATGCCAAAAAAATGAAATGTATGAACATTTTTAACAATGGTGATGAAATATATGGACATTTTGTGATAATTTTCCTTTTAATAATTAATTTAGAACTCGTTTGCACTTTTTTTAAAAAATTGAGACTGTGATTACAATTAATTCTTTTTTTTTTTTTTTGTCTTATTTAAACAGAATGATATATTCATCATTTTACAATTTTTAATTGAAAAAATGTATGTAAAGAACCTAGGTGAAAATATTGGCAAAAATGCCAAAAAATTACAAGTAAAGACATTTTCCACAATAATAGTGAAATGTAAGAACATTACGTACTAATTATCCATGAACTTTTCATGAGAAGCTTATTTCAGAAATTAGATGCTTTTGGTTTTTTTTTTTATAAAATTTAATGAAATATGTGGTTAAAACTTTTGATAAAAAAATATGAATTTCATAAAATAATATTCTTTAACTAAATCAAACAAAGAGTAACAATTAGACTCGTCATGTGCTAGACTAGTACATACAGATTTCGGGATAAAAGGTAAGCGGTGTTTGATAAAAGGGTAATTGGCGCAAAACGTCCCTACTTATGATGGGTTTTGTGGAAAATGTCCATACGTTTGATTTTTTGGTGCAGAACGTCCCTACCTTTACATTTTCTTGCGCAAAACGTCATTTTTACTAATTTTTAACATAAAATGATCATTTTACCCTCCTATATAAACGAAACAAAAAAGAAAAGAAAAGAAAAATAAACAACAAATTGTAACTACATGCCTAAACATTTTAAAAAGTGCAAATAAGCCACCAAACTTCGCCTCCTTCCCAATTTTCTCTCCTGGAAAAAACCCCAAAATCGCAACCTAATCCCTAGCCTCCGGTCACCACCCATGGGCGACGACGAGACACCCTCTTCCCTACCCTCCTCCACACCTATCCCCTATCCCAAGCAACCGGACGCCATCACCACGGGCGAAGGATCCCCCTTAAATTCTTCAATCCCATCATCTTCATCCTTCAAGATCTTTCTTATATCAAATTTTGCATAATTATTACTCCCATTTCCGTACTATAACTTGAAGAACGGGATTTTTTATAAGCTTCCCATTGCATATAAGCCTCTAGAATTGCTAGGCACGGCGGGGACTGAGGACTCGATCTAGCATAATGGGTTTCTTGCTAAAAACCCGAACTGGGTAGCGAGTATGCAGCTGGAAATCAAGATTTCTGGATTCGTCTCAAGGGGGTAAAAGGAATAATGTAAGAACGAGATTCGGTATTTTCTTGAAGGATTATCAAAGAATGGGATCTGGGGAAGACTATGAAGGTCGATTACCAAAATGAGATGGGATTCTTGAGAGATTCAGACAATGATTAACCTTAAATTATGTGTATTTTCTAATATTAGTTTAGGAGGAATTAAATCTCTGCCCCCAGGGTATTCTCTGTTGTTGATGGATTTATGGAAGACTATTTACTTCAAAGAGGAGGCTTGGGAGGTGAAACCTGACGGCCATCAGTTGAAAGATTTGCTCCAACCAAAATTCCAGTGTTAATGGGAGAGGAAAAGCCACCGTAGCCACAGCCGGTGGAGGGGCACTCAACCCCAAAACCTCTTCCTGGAGCCGGGTCCTTGGAGACAGAGAAAAGCATGGATGTGGCTCCAATCCCATCTCCATTATCAGCTTCCAACCCTTCTTGGTTCACTCCATAAATTTATTTCTGTATATGTTGTTATGTTATTGGATTCCTGATTATTTCAAGAAAATTTAGTACAAGGAATGAAAAAAGTTTGAGTCTTGGGTATTTTTACCACGTGGGTCTCCAGGAATTTGTTGGTTTCTCTTGTATTGAGTTTCAATGCATGCTATTGAATGGGTTTATGCTGCTTTAATTTTATCCCAAAAAAAAAGGAGGCTTGGTTATTTTTTATATTTTAATAATTTATTTGGACTAATTTGTAGTTTTTTTAAAAAAATAGGAGTAAGATTGCAATTTGTTCTTTATTTTTCTTTTCTTTTTTGTTTTATTTATATAGAGGGTATAATGGTCATTTTATGTTAAAAATTGGTTAAAAGGACGTTTTGCGCAAGAAAATGCAAAGGTAGGGACGTTCTGCACCAAAAAATCAAACGTAGGGACGTTTTCCACAAAACCCGTCATAGGTAGGGACGTTTTGCGCCAATTACCCTTTCTTTTATATTGTGATTCATTCTGACATTAGTTATTTCACACCGANACGTAGGGACGTTGTCCACAAAACTCGTCATAGATAGGAACGTTTTGCGCCAATTATCCTTTCATAAAATTTTGAGTGTGTCTTATTTTGAAGGAAGAAAAACAGAGAGAGGCAGGCAAAAACACAGGATATCGTAAAAAGTTATTCAAAATCTGACTTCCACCAGATAAAAGTTTCCTCGAAGAGAAAATAATTATTATCGTCGTTCACAAAAAAAAAAAAGAAAAAAAAGAAAAAAAAGGTAAATTTATTACACAACCAAACTTGGCCTAACGTTATAGCACTGTCCTCATTAATCATCAACTAATCAGTGAAATTTGGGAGGGTGGCGCCTGGCTCGCAGGCCTTGGCAGCCGCCGTCGGCTCCACCGTGAGCGACGGAACAACCGGCTTACCCAGTAACTCCGCCGGCAGATCCGGTATGCCCTTCAAATAAAAGGTGTAGAACAATTTGAAAGGAAAAATAATCTGCTGCAGCTTTACTTGTCCATACACCCCTTCGAATATTCCCGATCCACCAGTCACAGCCAGATAGGTGTCCTCGTAGGTCAAATAGGGTCCCTGCACCGCTATATGACCATAATCGCCGAAGTAGAAACTGTAGATCGCCTCGTACCGGTCACCCTTCTTCTCCGGCTCGTTCTTGATCAGAACGCATATTCCGGCAGTTATTCCGGCGCGTTTCTGCAGGTCTCCGGTGTATACCTGTAGTACTAGAAAGATTTGCTTATAATTCTTACTTAAACTAACAAAATAGGTACTTTTTCACACTTAGAAGTACTAAAACCTTATTGCTGAAAGGCACAAGATCGCCAAGGGTATTGACAGTTTTTTGACTCAATCGAAGATAAGCAGGGCTGCCGCGATCTCTCTCGTTGATCTCATACACGTGCAGTTCTTGAACCTTAGCTGCAACCCAGTAAAAAAAAAAAGAGATAAAAAAATCAAGGATCATACAGAGATGGAACTGAATTAAATTATAATTAGAGGATCTTGAACCTGCTGATGGGTCGGTTTGGCTCTTGCATGAGAATGATCTTCTGGCGGTTGAACTTCCGGCAATAGCGGCGGAGGAGTTGGAAAGTTTAAGGGTTTGAGAGAAAAGGGGGTTTGTTTGCTTGAACGAAAGCAGTTTTTGAGCCAGTGAAGTGGCGGCAGCGGTAGAGGTGACTGTAGGCTTGACGGAGGAAGGCCTGAAAATAGCATAGGCTGATGCAGCGGCCATTCTTGATCGTAAAAACTTTGTGTTTTGGAGTTAGCAAATGGGACTGAAAAAGGTCGTTTCCTAGCGAGAACTTTATGAATATGTGATGGGATGTCTATGATAGAGAATTTATGTACATATATACATACATTTTTGCCTCCGACCAGTTGTTTCACACTAATATCTTGATGAATTTGTCAATTTGTACAGCAGGAGTTGGTATTTCACACATAACGGTGAGGCCCGTGATTATTTTAATCGCGGGCTCCGCTCCTAAATGTGAGAGGGTTGTGACTCGAGCTGTCATCCGGATTGTACTTGTAACATCTCTCTATTTTCATATCTCACTGTAATTAGGCCTTAGGAGAGTCAAAATTCTATTAATAATATTAGAAAGATGCTTAATGTAAAAAACTGGTGTACACCAAATTAACACAACTCTCTCACAATAATAGTGGGGCCCATGATTATAAAATAATCGCGGAGCCCACGATTGTGAGAGAGCTATGTACAAGGTTGTACACTAATGTTGTACAAACAGCCTTTTCCATAATATTTAGCTTATGTTTGATATAGTTGAAAAGTTGATAAAAAAAATTAAATTAAATCAATAATTAATTTTGATCACATATTTTATGAGACTCACAACTTTTATAAATTTTCAACCATATATTTCATTAATTTTTAATAAATTTTCTATAAATCTGATTTTTAAATACATATCTTAGAACAAGTCTATATGGCATTATAGTCAACATTTTGTGAGGATTAAAATTAGATTTTTAGTAGATTGTGAAATAAATTTTTGAAATGTATGGTTAAAAAGTTGTGAGACCCACGAAAGATGTTGTTAATATTGATTGTTAACTTTGACTTAAATTAAAATTTGATTTTAATCCAATACAAACATGACCTTAATTGTGTTATGTGACGGTAGGGGCCAATCTTTAATTGTGACAATTAAATATAAGAACTACTAATGCTAGACGCTATTGCTCAAATTTTGTTTTCTTCGTGTTTAACTATGAATCTACCAACTTTTAAATTGAAAAAATGTGATTTTCATGTGGTATAATATACCAACGAGTGAAAACTCGTGAACAATTTTTTGTCCAAGTAAATGGACGGCATGTGCGAGTATGTTTTTTGAGGGCAAAAATTGCACAATTGGTTCCTAATTTATTGACATAGTAGTTATTTGATCTTCAACATTTTAAAATTAGCATATTGTTTTTCAGTCTCTCATTATAGTTGCATTATTGTCTCTGATGATACAAATCGTTCGGATTTTAAGTTAAATCTTCACACGTATACCTGAGGTATGTTTTGATGATGCCACATGATATTTAACGGATACGTTAGTGATTTCTATCATTAGAGACTGATCGTGAAAATGTTTCTTGGACGAATTTGCTTCTATTGAAAACTTGAGGATCGGCTTGTTACTGAAATAATAGCTTAAGGGGAAGTGACGAAGTGTGCTGATTGTGGTCCGTGGGACACAGTTCAAAAAGGAAGGGTCGAAAAAGGCGTTTGAAAAGTCAATATAGTACAGTTCTGAAAATTTTCAAATTTCGTACACGTGGTTTTGGTTTATTAAGAAAATATGAACATTAAGCAGCCGACCAAACTTTGTGAATGAAACATGTTAATTGATGATGTTGTATTAAGCCCTGCTGGATAGGCATTAAAGATTTTAATCTAATTTAAGGTTAATAATTAATTTTGTAATTAAAAAATCATATATTTTGTCATCTTTTATCAAAATCTACTAAAAATCTAATTTTTGTCTCCACCAAATAAGAGTTGATGTTGTTTGATTCGATTTGATTCTACATACTAACATTTTCAAATTATTGATGCAAATTACAATACTTTAAAATAGATTAATTTGGTGCAAAAAACCAAACGTGATAGCTGTTTCATGTGATGGTACGTTGTACCGACCTTTAAGCTCCCGTTTGTTCCACAATTTTTTCTTCATTTTTAGAAAAAAATGTACCGTTGAAGGGTCTCACTTAGCCATTTTTTTTTTTTACTTTTACCTCACACTTTCCTTGAATTGCACGATTCAACGATACAATTTCTCATTCTCCTACTTAGAATAATGTCATCCAAACAGAGACTAAATCATAATACTTTCGTTAGTTCCAGTTAGGACTGCACAAAAAATCGCCAAATCGCAAATCTAACCAAAACCATTAGTTTGAAACCATTGATTCGGGTCCGCAGTTATTTTTTCTTCAAATCGATCCAAACCGTTTAAAAAGGGTTTGGTTTAGATTTCAATTTTCAAAAATCGCAAAAAAATCGAACCGAATCATTTTTTAATTAAAAAATTAATTTTATTAACTTACAAAATTTAAAGTTTTCACTTTTTAGAAAACAATATCAATTTAGGAATACAAATTACCGCCAACCCATTAAAATAATCATATAAAGTAATTAAGTTCAGCATTATTGACCAATAGTTTTATAAGTCCACAACACACGTCTTGACCCGATATCTAATTTAAATTAAAATTAATCCCAAATCATATGAAAAAAAAAAAAGCATTTATTTTCAACAATTCAAATCATAATATAAAAAAACTACGACATCAAATCATGCCACAACTTTAGAAGCTACTTAAACTCTCATTTCTCAAACATTTGACGCTTGCCTGCTACTATTGAACAAAATGCGATTTCCAATCATAAATCGTTAGTTGTCTTTTGCTTGCTAGTCTACTAATTTCTACCTGAATCACCATTTCTCTCTTGATAAGTCTTAGATTCTCATTTAAGTCATTTTTTTCATTATTCTTTCTTTCTTTTATTTGTTGTTTTTTAACTTATTATAAACTTGTGAATTGTGATTTGGATTAAAAAAAATGACTATTTGTGTGTCTAGGTGATTAATGAACTGTTTGTCGTTTAGAAAAAAATGAATGATATAGCGTATTGATTGTGTGAAAATGTTAAAATTTTCTAACTAGTATTACTACATTCTACTTTGGTAAAGTCGTTAGATAATAAAATTTGTCAATTTTCAATAAATCTAAACTCTATCATTCTTTGTACATTTAAACATATTATGTTCAGTCATTGTTTTTAATCTCACTAGTAGGACGAAAGGAGGTTTAACCAAACTAATGTAGCTAAATGTGACTCTTATCTTTACCAACCACTATATGACAATGTGAAAGATAAACAAGAAAAGTTAAATAAAAAGGAAGAAAATATATTCGTTCTATTAATATTTTTTAGCAACCTGAAAATAATTTATTCACATGTTTCGTGGGAAAGATGAATGTAATTTAATATTTAACATCATTAGTTCTCATTTAAACTTATATGTTAACTTATTTTAAATATATTATTATAATGTCTATAGGCAAACTACGGATTAAAACCGAACTAACCTGCAAATTATGATTTGGTTTGTTTGGTTTGAGAAATAAAATCGTTTGATTTGGTTTGAAAAAATTCCAAATCGTATGAAATGGTTTGAGTTGAAAATATGACATAAACCGTCCAAATCGAATCGCGTTCAACCCTAGATCTAGTATATTTGTCGACCTTGTGTATATTTAAATTTGTCTTTCTATACTTACAGTTTTGTTGACATCTTTGTCAACACTATTTAATATGGTAGGCAATTTGACACTTTATATGAATAACACATATTCAAATTAATGGCATGATCTTTTACATATCAAATAATGTCAATAAAAATGTACAATTTGAATATACAAATATTTTTCTCGTATTTATATGCTTTTGTTGCATCTTTTTATGCAGTGAACTTGAAAAGTGATTTAAATTTTTTTTTTTAATTTCTTATTATTTCACGTTCCACATGAAAGAAGTGAAGCAAGAATTACTTTAAGAAAATCTCGATCAAAGTTGGTTTGGATTGATTTTAGAGTTTATCTTTCGATTTTCAAATAATCAATAGTTATTTTAGGTGTTAGTAAATTTTTAAAAGCTGATAATAGAATAATGTTGTACCATGACAACAAACTTTGAGAAGCAACACAAAAGCAATTTTTCATATTTTGCTTTCAGTTTATCCAATTATTTGATATTTTTAATCCTAGTTAATTTAATTAATTCATTTTCTACTACACGAATTATGATTTAGTTTTGTAATTTATAAAATTTGAGATTTAATACGTAATAATTTTTTTTTTCATTTTAATTAACTATAGTGAATATATTGTTTAGAAAAAATATTAAATAATATTACATATTATTATAAAAGAAGTAGTAGTAGTAACTATCATCATCATCATCAATGTCCAATTTAATAATTGTATACGAGTACACTAATAAATTACTTTTGTTTACCAAATGTTAAAATGTTTATGTTGAATAAATTAGCAGCTTTATACCTCGTTTGTTTGTTTTTTTTTTACAACTAACAATAGTAAACAAATGGCTTTTGAATACTTTGTGCAGTCGATCATTCCAAGATTTGTGTCACTATGATTATTGGAGCATGTTGATGGAGTCTAAAGAAATACTAGAATGTTGTGGAACCTGGAGTAGTAGAACCAACACTTGGGACCGTGATGACAGAGGCGTGGATGATAGAACTAGAAGGATTAAAGCTAATAGATCTGAAGGCAAATAACTACCTCTTCCAAGCAATTGATAGTTCTATCTTGGAAACTATTCTCAGCAAAGAATCTTTTAAGTAGATTTGGGGTTCTACGAAGAAGAAATTTCAGAAGTCTACAAAGGTAAAAAGATAGCAGCTTCGACAACTTCATTCAGAGTTTGAAATATTTCATATGAAGTCTGGTGAGACCATATCTAATATTTTTCTAGAAAAATGACAATTGTTAACAAGATTCCCCCATGAGGAGAAGATAGAAGACGCGATCGTGGTTGAGAAAATTCTTCAATCATTGACGCCGAAATTCAGTTATGTGTGTTCAATTGAAGAAAACAGCACCTTTCTTTAGCCTTATATTGAGTTGTCTTCGTCCTTTTCATTTCACTTTATAACATTTGGTATCAAAGACATATTAGAG